CTATAAATTGGCGCGCCTCGAGCGGGCTTCGCCGGTCGGACAGGATGTTGGGCATGTACAGGGCGATCGGTAAGGTTGCTGGTCAGAGTGTACTGGAGTGGGAAAGCTGGATAGTCCGACGCTGGCTTCCGAGAACCGGTTCCCTGCTGCTCAAGAACCCAAGCAGGTCGCGTGCCGAAGGGCGATGCAGCGCCTTGCCAGAAGGCTGCCCTTGAAACGACGATATCCTGAACTGCAGACTGCGACTTGGGAGCGCTGGGGAATGGCATGGACAGCCCAGTCGCGTTGAGCTCTGCATACAGCTGATCTTTCTGTGCGCCGGCGAAAGAGAGTCGGAAGGACTCTTCAGACGGCGTTATAGACAAGATCCCATAAAGTAACGTCCATATCTGGCCGACGGTTGGTGCTGATGCACCATCCCAAGTCACAAACGAAACCAGGCTGCGGCATGCCCGCGCCCAAGCGGTGTTATCTGATTGGGATGGCAAAGCAGCCTGCGGGCTGGAAACCAATTCGCTAAAGTAAAGCAGATCATGATGCAGAGGTTCGAGAGGGTTTACGGCGCCGTTATTCTGGTGTTTGGACAACCGAAGCTGAAAGATCCGTCCATTGGGCCCGGAGGAAGCTTGGAAGAGTTCGTACTTTGTCTTGTATGGCTCAGGGAGGCGCACGAGTGGGAGGTCGCGCATTTCAGGGGAGGAGCTCATTGTCATGGAGCTATCACAATTCTATTTAGGGTGCAGGAGGTGCAAAGATACCGAACTCAGTTGCCCAAAAAGATGGATGCATCAAAGGGGGTACAGAAGGAAGAGCTTCGGGTTCAGCTTAATCCCTACGTCAGATACAGCTATGGGGCTCCATCCGAGCTCTGGGTTTCTCAGACTCGTGCTGCAGAGAACGCGTCCAAGGATACTGCTGCTCCCCTCGGTTCCATTTTCCATTGCCGAAACACGAGGTTCAACCGGTTCAAAAACCTCCCTCATAGTACTGACCCCAGCGGAAAAATACAGAACGTTTCCACCCAGCTTGAAGTGTACCCCATGGTATTGAAAATTCAAGGCGGCGGTAATATAAGTTACCATACAACAATACAAGGCACACAGTGGAACATCTAATCTTATCCATCTGATAATCGGATCAGTTGAGTTGTTTTTCTTTTGCTTTTTTCATTGTCCCTTGGTACTCTCAATTTTGTCTCGATCATTCGTCATCCTTCCCACGGACCATCAAAATCAGATAAGATTAAAAATTTTATCAATTGGGCCACTCCACGGCTGCATGGCAGTCTCCCGGTAAGGACTGTATGGTGGTGGGACTTTTTCTTTACCCCTCCAGGGATCCCACTTTGCCGCGTGGGTTATCAGATCGTTTAGCAGGTACTGCGTTATGGGGACCGTGACAAGCCCACCACCCGGGTTAACCCGGTCGACCACACTCTGGTGGGCCACCCCTCAACGCACGTTGCAGGTACATCCTCTGTGCGTCAGAAAGGAGGAAGGCCATCTATCCAGCGCCAACTATCAGGTTCCCAGTCATACAGACTAACATCTTCAGCCGGCCGCTGTGAAAAAGACTATCTACCCGCGGAAGTGCCAATTCCGCAATCGCACAGACAATTGCGATAATAATCAGCTCCGGCTTGAGTAAACGCCATGCCCGAGTTCGGCTCCAATCGCACGATACTACTTATGTGGGGGTCTGAGCTAGAATGCATTGGGCAGCACCTGGGTGCGCATTGAAATCCGTTCACCTCGCCACGATCGGTCGGCCCGGGGTTGTTTGTCTTCTCATCATACCACCCTCTGCTACACACAGCCAGTGCGGAAAAAGCGCGCATGCAGTTTTGTTGTATCATGTATGGGGCAGCCAAACAGTCTCAGCTTGAAGGTAAAGGTTGTGTGGGTGGTGGGGCCACAAAACGCACAGAAAAACAAAAGCAAAAACAACAAGAAAAAACAAAAAGCCAGCCCCTCTCCTCCCCTGTTCCCTTCCTCCGTTGACGCAAGTGGAGAAAGAAGAAAAAATTTTTATCTGATCAAATAGCACGGTAAAATTCGCGTGGCTGGACAAGGGTAACTTACAACACTAGCCGTAAGTATTTAATGGCGTTATGGATCCATACATACAAGTGTGGAGGTGAGGAAATTTTTGAAACGGTGAAAAGAACATACATACACCCATACTCCACATCATACCATACGGACATACAATACGCGTATCCATGGTGGGGTGTACGTATGTATGGAATGTATGTATGATCCGGCAATTTCCATCAGATAAGCCGGCAAGCAGAAGGATCCTATGAGAGGAACGCGGCGGGGTCCGTGGGAAACTCGGAATGAAACATTATCCAGCCCTGCTCCACGGGTGCGCATTATGCATAGCAACAACATATGCATAAACAATCCACTTCATCCAGCTCTAAGTTCGGAGGCCTACTTCCAACGGGCTACATAGGGAGGATACAATGCACAGTGTGCAAGAACAGGCTTTCCATGCAGTTAATGGTGACTGCTGATTCTTCTTGGCGCTGCTTGCTGCATGGATTTCAAGTTCTTTATCAGATTCAGGGGTTGCGCCGGGGGAGGAGGAGGGTAAGACGCAGTAGGTTGATATCCTGCGTGGATTCCGAACGTCCGTCAACCTCTACATAAACCTATCTACCCCGCAGCCTACTGCAAGCCTATCAGTTCTAGAAACCACGACTAATAAGGGCAGTATGTGTTACTGGCCAGCCAGTGTCATTCATTAACTATCAATTGGACCAGTTCTGTGCTGAAATCCAAGAGCTAGCAATCAACGCCTTGAAATACAACCCCCCCTCCCCTCCCCCATCAACGCAGATGCCAAGATGCAACATTCAACACCCCATTGTACCCATTTCACACAGCTTGCCTGCATAACTCACACAACCAATCTATTCACTATGGCCCATAATGACTCTTACCATGGAATCTCACACGCCATGGATATATCACTATAGGTCTGTGATGATCCAAATCCTGCACATAATCAACAAATACCTAGTATCTATCTATCTAACAACTTCCCAAGTCAGATACCAACAAGTAAAATTTGGTTTGGTCAACAGAGCCAGCTAAAACAACCTACATAGCAATGAGACTATCTATGTAATTCACTCTTTGAAAAATCTCAAATAGCACCGCACCTGATGAAGCATGGAGTGCGCGGTCAAGGTCTGCTCTCACCAGAAACCAACTATCTGCTCCTATCATGATATAGGGCGATCTACACTATGAGCTGTGAGAGAGACCTGTATCAAACAGGTTCAAGTCAAACTACACGAGAAACGTCAGAGAGCATTTTCCCACACGGCATGATCATCGATCAACCCGCCGACGCTTCCGCTTAGTACTAGTATCTATCTATCTCACCAAGTGGCTAGATACATAGTAGACGCAAGTAGGGAGGAGAAGCATACAGCAAAAAAATAGAGGGTTAGATTCTCTTCTCCTGGCAGGAAGCTGGTCTAGAGAACTCGAATACAGCCGTGGGTGGGTGGCAAGGCATCATGTTCAGCCAGGCATGCACTGCTGGTGTTCATGGTGGCAAGGGACTAGCTAATAGCTGACTGATTGCTGTTTGTCTTTGGGAGTACATAGCAGACTGGGATCTAGTGGCTTATCCAATGCATTCTGTGGGCATGCTTCAAGGGTTATCTGGAATCTGTGTTGCTGCTGCAGGTTAGAAGGGAGATAATCATTATCCTATGTAGTAGGAGATTGATCTGGGAACATTCCATGACTTGTAGTTGAGATGTTAATTAAACAAAGTGCTTTGATTTAGTATATTTGCTGCATTCCCATAACTAGCATTCCCATAACTACAGGAATGATGTCACTGGCAAGCAATATTAACACTATCTCCCCTGTTGTTTACAGGCACGGCCTAATCATGATATCAGCGAGAGAGAGCATTAGGCCATATAAACAAATGCTGAGGAAAGATGAAGGTATGCCTGAAGCCCATTAAGATATGGAGGTCAATGTAGATAGCAACGACTGCTTATGCAGAGGCTGTGTATATGGCTGTCGTGCCGGAGCTCGTGGAAGAAAAGTTGTTAGGGAGTGTTGTGTGTATGGAAAAGGGTTGATATAATCGAATACTACCATAGAGATTCCGGGGGCTTCCGACTCCGAGACACCTGCTTCCCTGCTAGCTAGATAGTTTACGTACGGAGTAGTTAATTAACTACTGATCTAGTTGGTGAGCTGGCCCATGCATCCATCTCCCGTCTTCCTCATAACTAGCCATTCTCATTCTCATTCTCCTCCAATTCTTACCTCTCCCCAGGCCCATTGTCCTCAGAACGCGGGTTAATTGATACATCCCACACCCATCTCCCAGCGATCTCCACACACTCCCCTCCATACCACAAACAATCCAATCCCCATATACATATATATATATAATTACAATGGCCACCCTCCTCCCCCTCCTCCGCGCGGCGCCCCTCGCCGCCAGCACGGCCAGCCTCATGCACGCGACAGGCGAGCTAGCCATGAACAGCGCATTCCTCGACCCGTCGATCCGGGAGCTCTCCGACCAGGTCTTGCCAACGTGGTTCTCGCACGTCTTCCACCGGCTGGTGTGGGTGGTGGTAGGGCTGAAGAGCGTGACGATTGCGACGACGGTGGGGAATATAGTGGTTGGGGGAGCGGGGAGGAGATGGTATTGGGTTGGGTTGGCGGGGGCGGTTGGGCATTTGATGTTTGTGCCGTGGGTGGCGGGGCCGGTGGGGAGGATTGTTGGGGGGGGGAGGGGGGGTGAAAAGGGGGATAAGAGGGATAAAGGGGAGGCGACGCGGGAGATGGAGCGGTGGTTGAGCGTGCATCGGGTGCGGATGGTGGTGGCGGACTTGCCTGGGTGGCTGGGGTGTCTGATGGCGGTGGTGACGGGGAGCTGATGGATGTTTACTGGCTATGGGTTTATTCTCTACTCATTGTATTTCTCTTGTAGTTGAGAAATAAAAAATAAAATGACTAGACTGGGGTTCGATCCCAGGACCTTATCGGGACATCCATCATGATGAGATGTGAGCGATACGTGATAACCAACTACACCATCCAGCCAATGATGAGATGTTTGTGGCCGCAGAGTGGCTGACTAACAGGCTGACTAACATAGCTGACTATATCACCTGACTATCACCTGACTGCGCTCCCCTCATTGGCTGCCGCTAGCCCCTCGCTTAGCAGAGCCGCACTCCGATTCGCCGTCCCCCCCCAATGAAACGCTGAGCTTCCTCCTCCACCGCCACAACCACCAACCTCACCGGCCAACACCAGCCAACAACAGCCAACAACAGCTTCAATTGCCCTGGTTTGCCCTCTCCCTGACCCGTCTGCCCGCCGTCTGCTCGAACACCGTCCACTCACCGTATCCTGCGCGCCTATTCTTAGCCTCTCCCGAGTCTCCCCCCCCCCCGTTTCACCGGCCAGCGTCTGCCACAGAAGCTTCTTTGCCTCTGCCAATCACCGTCCCCCCCGTCCCCAGACTCTGCTCCTCTCCCCTTCAGCCTGTCTCGCCAGATCGATCGCCCTGTCTCCAAGCCGCCAGTCTCCTGTCTCCAGCCCAGCCTCCAGGTCAGGCCCCCGGCGTGACAGAGTGACAGACTGCCACCGTCGCATCAGCTTGGAATCTGGCAGCGGCTCTCCCGACCCAGCTTGAAACACCCAAAATTCAGGCCGGGAAACACGCCCTGGCTGGATAGATTACCATTATTGTATTTAATAACTCTTACTTACTCCAGCTGCGCTTTTTGCTTTTTGCTTTTTCCGCCGTCTCCCGTTTCCCGTGTCTCTTTTCTCTTCTCGGTAAGCCTCCTGTCTCCTGCTCTCCGATGATGTCGTCTGCAGCGCCCGCTTTTGCCAACGCATACATCCCCCAATCACTCGCGCCTCGTCTGCTTCCACCGCCTCCGTGTCGCCCTGTCTTATTAGGTTCCCTGTCGCTTCTGGCTGGCTCCCGCTGGCCGACTTTATTTGATTTTTTCTGCCTCTGATTGACTTGTTTCCCCCCTCCCACGCCTCTTATTTATCCCTGCCTCCCCCAATAATATATCCTTCCCCCCCCCTAAACCCATCCCTCAACGTTGCACTCGCATGGCTGACTCTTGATCGGCTCGCTCTGACATCAGCATCCCCGTCTCTCCATCCTCGACCTGGTGCTACTTGGCAGTCCCGACAACCCATCTTGACCCCAGAAATTACCCGGTTCCAATTCCCAGCTTTGGGCACCGCCTCGGATCTGACCTACGACGTGGCAGACACTAAAAACTCACCTGTGCTCGCTGCGCTCAAACACGAACTGCAGCCTCCTGCGCTGGCTGTCAATTGTTCTATTTTTTGCCCTTTTTTCGCCTTTCCGGCTTTTTGGCCATTTCCCTGCTTATTCCCTCATCTCATTTCATTGCCACACACGCCTGAGAACGAGAACACCGCTTCCCCCCCCCACTCTAAAAGTAAAAACAAGCGTACCGCCCTAAAAAGGACTGCCCAGGAAAAAATAGGAAAAAGAAACGAAACGAAAACAAACCCGACCGCTGTTTGACAACACATCAACGCGCTCTTGTCACCCACCTTACCCTTCCCCCGGTTTGCTGCATCAGAGCCCAACCACGTCTGCCCTGCGATTGCGCTGTTCAACCCTCGCTCAAAAGGCTCCGTTTACCTTGTTTTTTAATTCCTTCCGTCTTTCGTCTTGAACCCCGTCTCCGTCGCGTCAGGTTTGCTGCTCTGCTCTCACCGTCTCTTGTTGACTCTGCACTGCCGCCCGTTTTGGCGCCGACCGCTGGCATTGGTCTGTTCGCCCTCTCCCATCTTCACCCTAAATCCAGTGACCACCCCTTTGCTGCATTAGGTGCTGACGCGACCGAAGAGGCTGCAGATTCCCCATCCCGGCCATATCGAATCATCGTGTCGCGCTTGCTCCCTCTTCCCCTTCTCAACACCACTCCGTCCCACCCTATCCTGTCCGACTCCATCCTCTCCTATCCCTCGATCGGATCCATTCGCTGTCTCTAACGGAAGCCTACCACTCCATTGGTGCGCTTCCAAGGCTTGCCGCTGGTTTCTACCAGGCAGAACTTGCGCTGCCATTCTCAGCCCCTCGTTCGCTGGCTCGACATAAAAAATAAAAGTAACGGCATCATGGAGTACCCTCCGCAATATCAACAACCTCACAGCCAACACCCGCACGCGTCCTCACACATGCCTCCTTACCAGACCTCGCCTGCCAACGCTGGCCCGCCGGTCGGGTCCATCACTTCGCCTACCAACCCGCAAGCACACATGCAACATCCTCATCCAAACCATCAAGCCTCGCCCATCCTTCCTTCGCAATCGCATTACCCGCCATCACAGAACGCGCCCGGCCAGGTACACCAGCAGATGAACTATCCTCAACAATATGCTCCCCTCGCACAGTCCTACGGCATCTCCCAGGCTGCCGCTGCTGCCGCCATGGCCACCGCCGCTGCGACAGGGCACCAATTCTATCCTCTGCATCAAGACTCCATAGGCGGCGCGATACCGCCCGGCGCGCGAGGATCGCCGCGAATGTCGTCCAGTCAGGTCAAGAATGAGCGACATCCGCGATCACCTCCGCAGGTATCCGGCCAAGTCCCTCCGTTATCCAATCAAGTCCAACTGTCGCAAAACGCGTCGATACAGCAACAACAGCAGCAGCAACGTCGCATGAGCCAGCAAGTCAGCTCTCCGCATGTGCAAAACGCCCAACCCGTCCTAAACCACACTATGCAGCGCCCTCCAGGCCCCTCCTCCATGTCCGCGCCCACCCAACATCATCAGCCTCCCCCGCCCCAACAGAACCAGCCTTCACCAGAAGTTGTCGCCGGCGGCGCAGAAGAATCTCCTCTCTATGTCAACGCGAAACAATTCCACCGCATCCTCAAGCGACGCGTCGCGCGACAGAGGCTAGAGGAGCAGCTGCGTCTGACGTCCAAGGGACGGAAGCCCTACCTGCACGAATCGCGCCACAACCACGCAATGCGTCGGCCGCGCGGTCCGGGCGGGCGCTTCCTCACTGCAGATGAGGTGGCTGCGATGGAGAAGGGCGAAGTGCCCAACGCGACGGGCATTGAAAACATCCCCAACCACGGCGCCAAATCAATGTCGCATACCACCTCACCGGGAACCAAGCGCAAATCGGGTACTGCGGGCCTAAGTAATAACCACCAACACGGCGGATCGGGGAAGAAGGCCAGAATGGGGTCTGGCGCGGCACAACGGCGGCCCAGCACAAGTATAGATAGCGATGGCGATGCAGATGACGACGGGTGATGGCATCGTTTTCTTGTCTCGATAGGCGGTAGGTTTCGGTATGAGTTATGCCATGTTCAGAGTTGCGCAAACAGCTTGATAGGACTTGAATTGCTTTGCTTTACTTATGGGTATGATACGCTATGTTTTGGGAGCGACTGATTGATCTTGCTTGCTTGGAATGGGATTTTCTATCGTGTTTTTGCTGTTCGGTGTACCGCGGAACGCCTGCTTGATCGATTTTTGTTTTAAAGCCTGTCTGTGTTTTTTTTCTCGTTATTATTATACCTGGAAGCCAACTTCTCTCATACGTCATTCCATGCGTTGTCTTAGTCCATTGTTGCCTTTCTTTCTTCAACGGTCATCTTTTTAATATCATTGTCAAATTTCTTCCCGTCTTTTCCTTGTCTTTGTTGGTTGGGGTGCGTTAAGGTTGGCTGGGGTAAATAGTTCCGTTACCCTTCCCTGCTCAATTTTTTGCTTTTGTTTTTTGTATGACCTATCTCTTTTTTTTTTTTTTCCTTCCCTTTTCCCACAGGATGGATCTATATATTACTACCACGGCATACACGCCAACGCTTCGTTGCGGAACCATTGATATCTATTTGATTTTACGCTTGTTTTCTCTTTTCTTTTTTCTTGTTTACTTTTCTCTACCTGTTTAAAATTAAGTCAGACTGCATTTACCTATTCATCTATCCATTCATCCATCCATCCATCCCTCATATTTCTGCATTTTGTTTCTGCTAGTGGTTACTTCATAGCAAGGCAAGGATGGAGGGGGTTTTCTAAAAGAAAAATTGGTTATTATTATTATTATTATTATTATTATCATTGCTATTCTCATGCTTCATTCCATGCATTGGTTTCTTATTTATTCAACCAAGTTTATCAAGAAACAGTTTCCTTTCTTTCTGGGCCTTTTTAGATATATTTGGAGAATTCATTGTAAACATCTATCTACCTATTCATCTATTTATCTATCTATCTATTTATTTATCCATCAGCATGACTGAATGAATTCCCCTTTGATGATATAACTATATAATAGCAGATTAAACCCCTCTTTAAATAAATAAAATAGAAAAAACCCCATTCACCTCCCATCAAGTCCCCGGGCTCCAGGTGGTACAAACCCCACGTGACTTTCAACCAACCAACAACAACAGCCAACCTCCTCGTTTCTTCCGCGATGGTGATGAATCGCCATTGTCAGGTATATAGATACATAGATATCTATATACATATACAATACGATATGATATGATATGATGCAATATGTCTCCCCGCCCTGTCAACCGATCAAGCACGGTCTTCGTTGAGTTACTACTGGTCGCGGGAGCAAGGAGTTGGAGCAACTTGAGCAAGCTTTCATTCGATTCAATTGGACCAAGTCCATCTATCTATCTACCTATGGTTTTTCCTTACTTTATGCTACTCCATGTTCTTAATCTATGGGGATAAGCGTGCCGGGATTTGCTATTTTCTTCTATTTGTTTATTCTCTGCTTTTTCCCTACGCCGTGATGGTGGATGGATGGATGGATTGGTCACTAGCATACCCCCCGTTTGGAGCGGAGGATTGTCTTGTCCTGTGGCATGACAGCCGTGGGATAACGATGGAAAACGGAGCCCTCAAGAAGAGGCGATGGATAGTCAGGGGCATGGTTTTAAGCCAGCCACTGTCCCCTCCGGTTTGGGATTGGATTTGAGAGTGAGTGAGTGAGCCTTGCAACCATCCCCACAAGCCTGGACAAAACGTGATATTCGTCGCCTTCATGAGCTCGGCAT